TCCAGGCAATTCTACAATTTTTGGGTGGGGGTGCCATATGGAACTCTTTCCTTAATTTCTTGATGACCTAATACTTCTGGGGGTGGCTGCTTGGGTAATTTTTACACTTGGATGACTGACCCTGACAGCAACCCTAAAGGGTGAGAATGTTTCATGATAGGGATATGAATCTGTGACCCACAGATTGCAAGTTGAGGGCCCTAGCCATCAGGTTATGCCAGGTCATGTGAGAGTGGTCCATGCATTCCACCACAAAGTTAATGAGGATTGTCAAGTGATAAATATCGAATATTTCATTAGACTATGGGGTAAGTATGTCTCTGTATTAAACAGTTAATTACTTTTGTACCATGTCATTAATAAATGTGAGCCTATCACTTTTAATACTTCATGCATATTGCAAACCATAATCAGATTGTTAACTTTTAAAACACAAGTTATAAATGTAAAGGTATTTTTATAATAAATGTTGTTGAATTGTGTATTAAAGGCATACTATTAAAGTATTAAGTGTTATTGTACAGATAATTTTGATTTACTTACTGTTGTCCTGTTTAAAAAATTATTGGTAATAACCATACAAAGTGTTGTTGAATATGATATATAGCACAAAGTTAATAAGAGCTCAAAAGCAAAAAAAAACAAAACAGAAAATAACCTAATAGGGAACATTAATCACTAGGAAGAATAGTGAATATGGAAATGTTGCCTTGCAGGCTTCTGCATCTGTTTATTACTGAGCAAGGCAACATGTGACTTTTGAGAAATGAAGATCTACATAAATATCTACCATGAGCTATGTCTTTCACTGAATATATTCATACTGATGGACAATATGTTCATCTATTTTTGTACCTAATCGTTCAAAGGTTATAGACTGTCAACATCTGTAATCACACAAGTCTTTTATAATACTATTTTATATATAGCTGTTCCTCTACAAAGCAATATATGGTCTAATTATTATCATTCTCAGAATGTTTAACACAGCTTTGCATCTTTGCAAAGGATCTTTCTTTACTAGAAGATATTAACCTTTAACAAAGAGCTTGTAAACATAAATTGTAAATATTCAGGCAGATAATACTTACCTTTAAGAAATTCCAGAAATGTTAAAGAATGTGAAAATAATTTATAAGCAGTGCTATATGAAAATAAAGAAGCTCAGCACTCAGGAAATAAGTGTAGCCACTGCTTGCCTTTTCTGAAAGTTACCTTTGAGCAGATACCTTCAGATTTACTTACAACTGTGCAAGTAATTACATGTTAAAGTATTTATTGCACTGAAACTTCTATCAGTATGCTCTTATGATAAATTATGATTTTTTTTGCTTTGCCATAAACTTTGTAGACAAACCTATTGAAGGGCATTTGCTTATGTATCGGTATATAATAATAAACGTTTTATTCTCAACATGTACACATGTGAGGATTTATTTTCTTTTTTTTTTTTTGGTTTTATATGTAGCTATAGTTTTCCTATATTCTTTTTTTTTCTGTACTGTTAATTGGTTGAGTATCTGTGACAAGTTTTGAAACAACTCTTAGCAAATAAAACTTGTAATTGTATTTTAAATTTGTAATTAGTTTAATGTTTGTGAGTTATTATTCTCATACTGTAATCTGATAAGGATCCAGTGAAGTTCTGTGAGCCAACAATGATCAGTTTCAAGTTTTCTAATTCTAGCACATAACATTTCATAGTAATTCTGGAATATTGATTGGCCTGTACAAAGGTGCATATGGTATGTAGAGATTGTATGATGTTTCCATAAATTAAAATTTGTGAAAAAACTATATGATTGACCATTCTGATAAGATAACTTACCACAACTCACATAATAGTTTATCTTGACAACTACTGCCTCTATATGCACAGGTTTTCACTCACCACTAGCTTTGTGTTTGCATGTATTACTATTGCAATGTAGCATGCAACACACCCTCCTAGCACAGCTGACTCCCTCTGTAGTGTAGAACTAAATTTTCACTTATTGATTTGGCACACGTGAGTGCAGATGTATTTTAATTTTGCTTGTCTTTACTTGCCTAATTTGTTCAACAAATGACTTAGTTGTTTTTATATTCTGCATTGTTTTGTGATAATTTGTAGATTGAATTTGTGTTATCCACTGAAGTTTCTTTTCTTTGAATTCTCAGGATAGTGTTACAACTACTTGTAACACTTGCCACTGTAAAACAACTGTCATTTCTGTGGATTTGGGCTCTGGTATTTCAGTGAGATGGTTTTTGCCTTCTTTTGCCATGAACTGAATTCTATCATGCAGCCATATATGGCTCTTATACCAGGGCCAGATTTACCACTCCTTGATGTGTCTGGTTTGTATGATGACCTTTTGAACTGCCTTTTAACACCCCCTTCCTTTGCCATGCAGTCAAAGGCTATGCCTATGAATGTTCCTATATTTTTTATCAACTATTTCTTGAAATAATTACCCAGGTATGATACCTTTTGTCTGTTTGTTAGGATACCCTTCCTATATGGATTTCAAGGTCTATGCAGTTTAGTTCATAATCCAGTTACATTCCGAGCTGTGAATTTTTTCTTAGACTCAATCCTTCGAGTCTTTTATTCTGGCATAGGGATCACACCCTGGTAATGTAATGTAATTTTTCCAGGCCCATTTTTCCCGTTTGCATCTACCCCTTCCACATTTTCTTTGTTACCTTTTCCTTAACACCTCTCCTCACCATGACCATCTACTGGACCTTTGTGGGGTTTGGGGGAAAGACTCGTATCCTCCCTTTCTTGGCTTCTCTATTTGTGGGATATTCTTGGGAGTGTGAAATGTTTACTCTTGTGAATTTTCCTCCTCCAATTCTTCCTTGCCCTTCATTTGGCGACGGATTTTGCGACTGTCAGTATTCGGGAGCATTTCTACCTCGTTATAGTCCAAAGTGGTACCTTCTTGTCAGTTTTACTCGTTGTTTTTGACATTCCCAACCCTATTATGGCCCATTCTTGTATCATGCACTCCTCCTTCCTCCCCTTTCTCAGTGCTCCCTTTCCGTATATTCTTATAATACCATTCAAGTTTTATATCTTGATCTTCTTATAAGCCTTAACAGACTACAAAGTATTAATTCCTACTGCTTTAGTACTTGCTTTTTCATTTAGGAAAATAGGTACTTGTTCTTGAATGTTTTGTGCTTCAGTTGACAGAATATGAATTGTCCATTGCTGCCCAATTAGTGGATCCTGAAAGTATAGGAATCTCATGGAGTGACATCGCAGGATTGGATGATATCATCCAAGAGATCAGAGAGACTGTTATACTACCAATTCAGAAGAGAGAACTTTTTCAAGGATCTTCATTGATACAACCACCAAAAGGTAAAAGACATTTTGTTGAAATATAAATGTTTTGCTACAATTTTTTTTACATGTCCTGTACTTCAACTTTTAAAGTTGATTTATTTTTATTTTGCTTTTTAGAATTTGCAGAGCAGACTGGTGGGCTGAAACTATACCTTGATTTAATGAATAATACAACTCTAGAAAATAAATAGTTTATCTAAATGCAAAATTCCAAGACAATACATTACACGCACATACAGAATAGCTTGAATCCTTCACACTTTTATCTATGAGATTTGCATGCTGCTAGCTTTGAGCTATCTCCCCCCCTAAAAAAATGTGTTTAAATTTTACTGCACAAGTGCATGATGACATCGTCATGGTATGATAGCCCATCATCAGTAGGAGGGCAACACAACTTCCTTGTACAGTAGCTCCCCCTAAACACATGCACTCAAAACAACATTCTCTTCCTTGGCATTGTCTCAAACAGACTTATCTTTCAAATTGTTAAACTGTTTGTGAGGTTTTCAATAGTTTTTGAAAATTAAGTTTAGTTCAAGTTTAACTGCTTTATTTAATTTCACTAAAAAAACATTTTGCTTATCTGCCATTATGAATTGTCAAGTAATGGTAACTTCCACTTTTCCCCATGATGATGTTACTAACATGAGACCTATGGCTACTGGAGGTTTTTTGTTTGTGTAGGATGTGAGAGCCATTGTTCAATGTGTTGTGGGTTCCTTCATGCACACTGGGCCTTCTCCTCCTCCCAGTCATTTGGCTAATGTTCCTTCTCCTCATTGACAAGGATTTCGACCAGCTGCTTCCCTGGGCACTGCTTTATCTGTGGTGGAAAATCCTCACCTTTTTAATATATTCCTTGAAATGATTTCACAGGTATGTTCTTTTCATTCTCTATTTCCTTGTTTCCATTCCTTGATTTCCAATCATTGGAATCTCTTTCACCTGCTTTTACCTTAATTTCTATTTCCCTTTCTAGTGCCCAATTTTCCCACCTTTATCTCTGTATTACCACCCTCCTACATTACCTCTTATCACTTCATTATGCTCCGGAAGGAATTTCTAGAGACATTTGTTCTCTTCTTTTCACCACTTTAGTCCATACTTGTTTTATCTGCTGTTGGGACCTATTGCAATAGGCTGGCCTCCTAACTGATGTTTGCCTACTTCTCTCTTAGCTCTGTGATTTTTTGTTGGGACCCTTTTCTTTACTCTGAGGTCTTTGGAATGTTTCTGACTCACTGGAGACACAGGCTGAGGTGGCTCAGTATCAGTCCTCATTGTCTGCTTTGGTTTCTCATTATTCTCAAATTCACCCTTCTGTTCCTGTTCTTAGGATTACAAAATCCACGTCTAGCCTTCCCATTTATGCTTCATGATCTTCTTCTTTTTCCCATCTTCCAACTTCATGATGTCAAGGTCATCACTCATCAGTGACTATCCTGTCAGGTTTGGCCCAGTAGGAACCCACCTGTCTTGCTCTGCCAGCCTTTGGTCTCCATTTACAGCATATCTTTCCACTTTTATTCTCTTTCTCTACTTTTTGTATTTCATTTCCTCCTCCCTTTAATTCCATTAATTTATCTTCAACATCTCAAGGATGCAGTCTTGGATCTCCTTTCTATTTTGTACATTGGGATTGAACCTTCCAGTTCTGTGTTTTTCCTTTTGGCATTGTGTCTGCTTCTTATGTTTTCAATTAAGTCATGGGGCATTCATCCACTGTGTTCACGAATTGGGGCTGAAGCTCCATTATATGAATGATTGATTGGCTTCTCCTTGCTTCTTCTCAGGAGAATTCCTTCCCTCAAACTTACATTCTTTTGTAGGAGTTTTGGTTTGTCAAGCATTCCAAGTTTTTCTCACACTTACCCAATATTTGGTACATTTGGGTGTGTTCTTCAACTTTACTCTCTGTCAGAATCAGCCTTCACCACTTTACCTGAGTGATGGAATATCTAGTTAATAAGATTTGTGCTTATCAGTTACATTCTATGTATGAGGTTCTTTTGCTTCTGGGGACTCTGACTTTTCTTTAACCACTCATTCCTTTAGGCCATATGCATGCGTGCCTCCTCCATAAAGGTCCCATTGATCTTCATTTTGTGCTTCTCCACGCTTCTTTTCGAGGCTTCTCAACCATGCTAATACCACAATAGGCATCTCCTTGCCACTTCCCAACTAGATTTCCATCTTTTCACAGATGCTTCTCTGTTGGGCTAGAGCACATCTCTGAATGATGACATGACTTTGGGTATGTGGGCTCTGGAGGAGGATTGAATCCACATCAACATGCTCAAACTTTTTGCAGTACATCAGGCATTTTCACATTTCCTTCCTCTTCTTGTAGATCAGTTGGTCCTGAACCACTCCAACAATTCCATAGTCATTTCTTATATCAACTGTCAGAGGGGTACTCATTCCAGGTCTCTGCTTTTGTGCATTGGACCTGCTATTTTGGGCTCATCCTCGTCGGGTTCTTCTTATAGCTCATTATGTGAATATGAACATGGTGGCAGGTCATCTCTTTTGGCTGGACGAAATCCTACTCACAGAGTGATATCTCCATCCTTATGTTTTTCATTGGGTTTGCTCTCAGTCGGGCATGCCACTCATTGATGCCTTTCCACTCCTCTCAACACCAAACTTCCATTCTTCTGGTCTCCAGTTCCTCATTCTTTGGCCCTGGAAATTGATGCTCTGCTCTCACCCAAGATTAGTCTCACCTCTTTCTATATGTCTATCCTTTTCTTTATCTCCTTCACTGAATTGTTGCTTTGATACATGACACTCCTTGTTGGATCCTGTTAGTGGTGCCTCTTTGACCTGCATAACCCTAGTTTCCTCTGCTTCATCTATTGGCATCCAGGCCCCCTCCACTTTCTCTCACCTGTTCCTGCTCTCTCTTCCTCTAATGACATATGTCTCTCTTTCACCCTGGGTTGTTGTCCCTTCATCTTCACGTTTAGGATTTGTCTGGTAAATCACCCACAAGACTCAACTCTCCAATGGTGTAGCCTTTTTCTTATCCCATTCCTGTCATCCTTCAATTCTGTTCATCTATTAATAGAAGTGGCAAGTGTTTTTGACATTTGTCCATTTGACATTGCCTTCCTCTGTGTCGTTCTACTGTGGCTCACCTTTCAGTATTTTTCACATTGTTGTTCAACCATAGAGTGTCAGTTTTCACCATTGCTGATTATCATTATGCAGTTTTATCATTTACATTTTACCTTTCCTATTACAATCAAGTTTTTTCTTCCCCTGTTCTCTTCACTTTGTTCTGATTCTCATTTCTTCCCTGATCCCCTTGTCCTACTGCTATTCCTAACCTTAAGTCTTTTTGCTACTGCATCCCCAAATTTTAAGAACCTAATGTTGCTATTGTTATATTTTGTTCCAAAAATAGAACTAGTGGGTGAAATTGTTTGAAATGTAACAAGATATTTCCTAAAAGCGTGTAGTTTCAGAAAAATAGAATATTTAATTTTGATTTTTTCTACTATTTCTAATAAAACAATTATTATTTAATGTAGTTATTTGCACTTGGACTCTGAATAATTTACCTGCAAGGTGACTTTTATATGAAGTATAAAAATACTATTTTTTATATTACAATTTTCACATTTCATTTGCATAATCTCTAGAACCTTATAAATTAATATCAAAAGTTTTATAAGATAAATGTTTAATTTATTATCCATTTTCTCTACTATATCACTACTAAACCTAGCTATTATCATCAAAATACAGTGTAATGAAATGTTTAAAATAAACATATCAACTCTTCCCAAAAATTCACTGGAAGTCTTCTTTGTCTCGTGCATAACTTCACATCTTTATCTTTTCACTAATAATTAATTTTAAATTTTCCTTTCCATTCTTTGTCTTTCATTATTTATGCCGAAACATCTCGTAATGGCCTGCGGGCTATTTTACAATTGTTCACAGGAGACTTGTTAGCTAGAGGGCAAAATGTTTCGCACATGCCATATGTTTAGATCCAATGAGATATGAGAAGAATAAGTAAATTAATGAAAATCATTAAACCTTTCAAATATGAATTTTAAAACACAACACATAATTAACTAAAATGTAGAAGTAAAACCTACATGCAATTTAACTGTCTATCAAACTAATATGTATAAGGTGTGAAACAATAGCCAATTTCTGGGGATGCTGCTATCTACAACAAATGGCAATGGAAATATACTTGTCATTTGAAAAATAATCTAGTACTTGTGTCTCATTTAACCTGGAGAGTAACTGTGAATTCTGCTCTTTTTGTTGGTTATAAGAATTCCATTAAAGAACAGAAAAACCTGTTACTTAGCAACAGATTACTTTGGAATGTGATCTTGGTGTCTAGCAGATGGGGGAGGGGGGATTAAATCATTTCCTAAGAATTTTAGCAGTTGAGAAACAAAAATAATGTGTGAAATTTTACCTTGTATGCATAGAGCTTCGACTAGACTGTTGTAGAGGTACAAAGAGAGAGCTATAATAATACATAAGCAATCAAACATACTGTCTTTCAACAATATGCGTGTCATGTGACCTGAACACTGAAGATTTAGTTGTTTGTTTCAAAGGTTTCTTTCACAACAAAAGAATAATAATAATAATGCTAATTTCATAAAAATACATTGAGAGTAAATTGGTTTAATTAACTTATGAATGTAACTCTGTATCACTCTGTGATATGCGCAGAAGGTATTTAAAAAGGGTAGCAGTTGTTAAAGGGTAATTGTGGTACTACAGACACTTACACACGCTTAATTCAAGCTGTTGGCTTCATGTATCTTATACCATCTTTTTCTGAAAACATACATCTTTATCCTTCTTACCTGTGGTCATTGTCATTTGGATGTATATGCTATTGATGCTTTCCACATTTTCTTCTATCGTACTTACTAACTCCTCTACCCAGACTGGGTCTTTCTTCCTCAAACCTTGGCTGCTCAGGAAGGTGTTCAGTCTTTTTCTCCTACCTGCCTCCCTTCAATTTCTGACCTCTGTGCTCATATGGACCTAGATTGTCTTCTGTGTCCAGTTCAGGCTGTTTAGTATTACTTGGCATGTACATCTCCCTTTTGGGGTCCCCATCATCGTTTGCTTCTACCATGGTATTCCTTTTTGTTCAGAGACCTCTCATCTTCTGCTTTTATAGGATGAGACTGCTAACTTCTTTGACTGGATATTGATGCTCACAGGCTCTTTCACATTTCATCACATCAGATTCATCATCTATCTCACTGTCTTGCATCTTGGACAAGATCCTTCAGACTGGCATGTGGACAAATCTAATCTGCATATTCATCTCCCATTATCCCATTATGTTGCTGTTTCATCTTTTACGGGATTTCGACTCCCTCCAGTCACTGTTCTTCATTCTACAGACCCTCTTTGAGAACGGTAAGTACATTTTCTTTTTCCTTCACCTTCTTCACTTTTATAAGATCCCATCAGATGGTTGGTGCTGCCTCCAAGGATATGCTTATTTACCCAAATCTGTGTTGAGCCAGAGGTAACGGAAAGTGCTCAACCCATTTGCCCTGGCTCTACCGATACCCACTGTTGAGATGGGGTGTTTCTTAAGATCATCACTTATGCTTATGGCATTAAAATTATTTAGTTTACCTAGACCATACCTTCTATGGACTATCATAGAAAAAGCCGGCACCTGGGATGTGGCTAATGCATGCCAGCTTTTAAAAATAGGATTCGTGGCCACCCATTGCACTGTCTCCAGTAAAAGACTTTTCTGACAGGCATTTGACAGGGATCTAGGCACTTCTCTGGGCCTCCCCAGTGCATATCCTCCCCCTTCTTCAAGTAGAACACAAGGAGGTCGTGTTGCCCTCCTTTTGATGTAGGGCTATTGTCACATGATGATGTTAACTGCATGTTTTTTAGGTGTGAGGTGGCCCAAGGCTAGTGGCATGAAAATATCATAGGGAGATGCATGAAAGAAGTAATCAAGCTATTCTGTATGTGAAGTTATCTGTCAGAAACACATTTTCCTGTAGGGAAAATGTTAACACTTTGGTCTACACCCTTTTTTTTTTTCTTTAAGGCTTACAGCATCACACATGTTGCTATAAATTGTGTGCATTAATATAATAACACTTGTACAAAACAGCTAATAGTGGTACATCTTCTCCTGAACATAATATGTAAATCTCTTGTTAACTGATAATTATTGGATGGTATAAAGCTAAAGAATAAAAATCCATTTCAGTATTCACTGGTATTTCTTGACTTAATGCTCTCTGTCTCTTTTAATAACCATCTTAACTAGATATTAAGTTCATTCAAGGCAACCATAACACTAGTATTCTTAAATTCAGAATTTCTATAAATAGAACCAAGAACTCTAAAGACTTTATCAGTAATTTTCAATTTCCACAATAGCCATGCTTCTATCATTGAAAAAGTATATACTTTTCAAATATATCTGAATAATATTTGCTGTAAGTATCGAGTAGTATTTAAGTAATAAGGTGCACTCTTTTTAAAAAACATTTGCATATCAGACACCAAAACATCAAAGCCAAATTAACTGTTGCTCCTGAAGTCCATAAACCTATCCGAAATAAGCAAAAAGTTCATACTTCATGTTATAATGAATTAAGTGGAAACTTGTATGCTTGGGGCTTGAAGCCCTGAAAGCTTGATAGGTACACCACTAGTCTCAAGACATCAATATGAGTTGGAGTTCAAATTCTTAGTCAGGCTTTTCACATATTTCTGATTTTTACAAGTTAGCACCTGAGTAAACAAATGGAGAAACAAGTTGGTGAGTTACAGAGGTTGTGTTTTGCATCATGACAATTATTAAATTTATTTATACATGGAAAGAGGATTTCATGAACATTTAGTTAAGCTACTTGCTTTGGGCTTGAGGCCCTGGTATATTAGTAAGTAGACCATTGGTCTCAAAAGGTTAGTGAGTTCAAGGAGTGCTGGGTTTGGTCAAGGCAGATTAAGCATTACAAGTTATTATTATTACATCAACTTGCATGTTTGTAACTCTAACCAAACATTTTTGAAGAACAGTTCTCTATCTAGGCTTCCAAAGTTTAAACCTACTATCTCTAGTATTCAAGTTTATATTGCCAGGTTTTTCATTCATTTCATATCTCAACAGAAGATTATACAAACTCTTAACAGTTTTGACTGCCTTAATGAAATTAAATCTAATTCTATTATGCTTTGGTAAAAACAAGTTAAAAAACTTTTAAATCTTGTTTAGTACAATTCAATTATTTCCTCTCAAAACTATATGAAATATTTATATTTTTCCTGTAATAAGGAAACCAAACTAAGCACCATACATCAAGGCAACCATAACACTGCTATCCTTACATTCGATGATTTTATAAATAAAATAAATATAATTTTTCTTTATGTTTTAAGGCCAATTAGGTAATATGTGTTAAAATACCAAAAGAATATTTATTAGTTAACTTTTATTCACCACTTAAAACTTTTTAAACATTAACTATAACTTTAGTAATAGTAGGCCTATTTGTAATCTAATTTAAGCATTAGGCCTAATACATTAAATGTAATGCAAGACATAACTGAAACACTACTTGGTAAATCTTTTTTGCTTTTGGCTACAACTCATTGTCATAAAACTTCTGAATTAAACAAAAAAAACCTTTCTAACAAATCAACATGAATATTGAGCATTCAACATAAGTACCATGGCTGGCCTAAGAACAATCGGGTGATAATTTTGTTGCTAAATGATGATGTATATTGTTGAGCATTACTATAAAAGGAGTATGAAAGCATTCTTGACAGAGTAACAAAGGAAATAAGCCTTTTTTCTAGTCAGTGATGAACATTGTTTTTCCTTGTAAAGATAGTTGGTTAGTTTTTGAGGTATTTCAATATATTTTTTTAACCAAATATAGACTTAATGGTATGTACAGACAGTACACATTTGGAGTACTGGTTGTTTTAAGACTAATTTACTGAATATTTTAAACTTTTTCATGGCTGAAAGAACGTGTAAATATGTAGATTATAAAAAAGGCTCTCAAAGTATCTTTATAATTTAAGAAACCATGAACAGTAAATTGTACTTAATGTATCCTTGAATTTACTATACCTAGAGCTTTTTAAACTTTTAATTAGAGAATAAGCAACATGATAATTTTCTAAACTCTACTTGTTAATTAGTAGGCTGTAATTATCCAATTTCCTTCTTTGTGTGTCATCCTGTTTCTAAAGCTCTTCTAGAACAAACATTTTGCATTCTTGTTATTTTATAAAGGTGTTCTTCTCCATGGGCCACCAGGATGTGGGAAAACAATGATAGCCAAAGCTACAGCAAAAGAAGCAGGTGGGTGTGCATTAAAAACTGATGGAGTTAACTTGTGGTTGTTCATTGTTTGGAGGTAATTTCTATGTTGTTAATTTATGACTTTCTGGTTAAAAATTATTTGTTCAGTAATGTTATGGTGTTTTTCAAGGTACCCTATTTAAGAAAAGGCAGCCTTTTTTTCTTTTATATGATGACTAAGTAATTTTCATTCACTTTACTTCCAGACTGCTTTAATGAACTATGCATATTTTTTAGGAGCTCGGTTTATAAACCTAGAAGTTTCCTCACTCACTGATAAGTGGTATGGAGAGTCTCAAAAGTTAGCAGCAGCAGTGTTCTCACTGGTAAGTTAAAAATTCAACAAGAAAACAATTTCTTACTTTGTCTACAAAGATTTAGATTAGTTGCATTTGAAAAATGTTTTTGTTTTCTGTTATTTGTGACTCTGCTGTGCTTTTTCTAAAAACACATTTGTACTGGACATTTCAGTCTTAGGTAGATTACTAATTATAATCCAACAAGTTTATGTAATACCTAACATATTAACTTTTGTGTACATGGCTAGTTCATTGGACCTATCCTTTATTGGAGAATTTATGTTTGCTATAATTCTGGTTTTACAATGTATGTCTTCAAGAAATTTGGCAAGCTTTTAATAAATGTCTGTTGTACACAAAATATTTCATTTTTTAATAAAGAATTTTTACTCGAGTTGCCTGTGATTTTACTGAATCAGTCTGACTTGGACTTGTCTGAGTGCAAGGTAATTTCCATGTTAAGAATAAAAATACTTTTTTTAAATCGTAAAATTTTCATATTTCATTTGCATAACCTCTAAAGCCTCCTCAATTAATATCAAATCTTTTTTTTTGGTAAAACTTTATTTTATTTGTTATTTTGTCTATCCCTAACACTGAAGTGAAATCATCAATTATGGTCAATGAACAGTGAAATGAATGTTGAAAAGTACCCTTTGTTTTTCTTTTGTTGATGCATAATTTCCAAGTTTTATATAATTTTTCTTCAAAGTTTCAACTCTTAACCTTTTAATATCTATTTTCTGTAAATATATGGTTTTATTGTACTTACAACCTACTTGAGCAATAATTCTCTCTTCAAAAACAATATGTACAACTGGAAGTAATTAACCATAAGTTGTAAACACTACAAGCCATGTACATGACCTGCATGATCTTTGTGAGTTCAAAACATAACTGAGCAAGGCCTTACTTTTTTCACTGAGTTAGTTCTTCGAATAAAATGTCTTGGCACTTTCAGATATACAATTTAGAACATAAAACATATATCAAGCAATATAACAGTATAGTATATCCTAAAATAACTAATTTAACTGGCTTTCTAACTTAGTAAAAAAATGAAACTGAGACCAAATATGTAATTACAAGCAACAAATTAAACAAGTTTCCTAACAATCTACTCTTTCTGTTGATTTAAAAAAATCCAATAGCAAATGTTAGAGAGAATTATTGACATTTTTTAAAGGACACTATGAGGTAAGTGGGGTGTTGCATGTGTATTTGACTTCTTATATCTCAGTAAAAGAAAGAAGCTTGGAAACTAGAAATTTATATTCTAGCTTACCAGTATAAGTATGTTATTGGAGGGACATTCAGAAGGGTAGACATAAAATCTAAAGTGGGCAATTTGGACCACAGACATCACATAATACAGAGGAGTGAAGATTGAGAATTTATTCAAATATTTGATTTTGAAATTAAGAAATTAAAACTTGTGTAATATAAACCTTTGAATTATAAACTATGTTACATTTTGATTACAACTCTGAAAAGGTTATGATGTGCACACTTTGACCCTCCCTTACACATAGGGTTAATAGTGTGTCAATTGCTAGTTATGCCAGTATTATTTATCTTGAAATATTTAAGTCTTAGGTAGATTATCAGTTGTGTCCTATTGGTACCAAACATATTAAATGTGTGTCAATTGCTAGTTGTACCCCATTTTTATATGTAATATAAAGCATTTAATTCTCAGGTAGCAGAAGCACAGATTGGCCCTATGGTATACATGTAGCTCTGGATTTTGAAGCTGATGAGCCATGATCAAATCCATGAAATACCACAAAATATTCCCCACACTTTAAACTCTGGGTGCATTATAAGAAGGATCGTCAATCCCTTAGCATGTATTGGTGCTTCTAATTCTGCCTTCCCTCTGGTCAGCAGCTGAAAATTAGGGATAGTGGCAGACAGCCTTAGTAGTTTTGCTATAAATACAAATTCATGATTAGCATGTATTGGTGCTTCTAATTCTGCCTTCCCTCTGGTCAGCAGCTGAAAATTAGGGATAGTGGCAGACAGCCTTAGTAGTTTTGCTATAAATACAAATTCATGAAGTTGTAAATTACTAGATTTGCTCCATGTTATTTATCATATACCTAGCATTTTTTAGCTGTACTCTATTCTATTTTTGGAATTAAAGACAAACACTTTCAAATTACATAAGTTTGATAAGTTTTTAAGTTTAGGGAAAATATATTAAAGTCTGTAAAACTCTTTATACTAATTTCTCCATATGGCCATGCTATATCAAGTGTTTTAGTGCAACTTTTTTATATTGCAAGTTATGAATATGAACTTGTTAAAGTTCACCATTGTTGCAGATTTGAAGTGATTAAAAACATTTTTAAATCGTGTTTTTGTGAATCTTAAATATTTAATGCTCTTTTTGTATAAGCAGTTTGACAAAAATAAACTTTTTGTCTAAGTGTTAAATGTTGGTTACTGATTTACAAGTTTTAGCTAGAGGTGCACTGATATATTAGTAGGCTATCAACTTGGCACTTGTATAAAGAAAAAATTAAGTTATCAACTATAGGCCATTTTATTGTAGCCAATAGTGGACACTGACATTTTTGCTTGTTGCCGCATAGAATGTTGTGATGCATAAATAGTTTAGAAAGAAATGTATTTGCTATAGTGTGCAATACGTGATTGATACCTACCGTAAATATGACTCAAAAAAGCTCAGTTTGGAATTTTTGAAAACAACAATACGACAGCTTATTCCAAACTATTTGCTGCACAAATTTTGCATGGTATTTCTGATCATTTGTGCTGTAAAATTTCCCAAAAATTGCCATATATTAATTGACTCCTCTTTTTGTACATCACTATTAATTTTTGCTGATACTTATTAAAAAATGTACCACATCAATTTCCTTTTGTAATTTTTATCCATCTTGACCTGCATTGCTTGCAAACATATTCATGTTGTCTTTTGAAGCTGAAAGCTGTCTTTTGTGTCCTGAAGTTGGTAGGCTGAATTATGTAAAACAAATGGAATAGTTTTGTACTGACTTTTTCATGGTGAAGTTAATGGTCATGTTTACATGTTTAAAGTTCCTACTATAAACTAATAAAAGTTACAGTCACAATTCAAAGTTTAATATATGTGTGTGTGTGTGTTTTTATTTTGTTAAGTGTTTCTAAAAGTACTACTAGTCCTGAGGAAGTTTCAATAGTGAAACATTGGCAGGAATAAAACGTTTTTTATTATTATCTGGAGAGTAACGGTAATTTTTTCAATGTTTAATGCCAAATTGTTTCTCGAAGCACTAATGCAACTTTCTTAACTTTTTTTATGGCTATTGTTCATTTCATTAATTTCCTGAACTAAATGCGTCAGATAAATACTATCTGTGAGTTTTTCTAATAAATGCAACTTGAAAAAAAATAACTTATAGCTTAAATTTTAATGTGTTTCAGAAGTTTAAAATACAGTAATAGTGGACATCAAAGTACAGCATTATCTAGATATCATTATTAAAATTTTGAAAACACTGAAATTTATGTGTATACAAACTTGTCATGAAGTAATTATTTTTGAATCTAATTTGACCTATCATGAATCCATGGAATGAAATATTAAAATATATTTTATTATGTAATTTTAATTATAATTTTTATCTCTTTTAGGCAGTTAAGATACAACCTTGCATCATATTTGTTGATGAAATTGGTAAGTAAAAGTAGTTTGTGACTAGCTTTCACACCACATGAAGACATAATTACTTATTTATATGCATGTGTTTATGTTCATATGTATATCACCTCCTATTTTTGTGATGTAAAAAAATTATGCTTATATAGTTATAGCACAGCTGCTTATGGTATTTAATGTTTTCTACAAAGTCTACATTCTTCTGATGAAGCATTAGCATTTTTTGGCTTAAAATAGTCACATGCCCCATACCTTCATAGTATTAGCATGTTAATTGTGCTTTATATTGGCCTTTGGTCTCACAAATTAGAACCCCACCTTTGAAACACACACACACACACATATATATATATGTGTGCATACAATACCAGTCATAAGTTTGAGTTCAAAGTATCAGTATTCAAGTTTTCAAGAGAGGATACAAAAGAAAATTGTTGTTTTGGTTGTCATGTATTTATGCTCATTATTATGTTATTAGACACAAAAATCAATAAGAAATTTTTAATAGATCCTCCTATAACCTTAACTTTGTGATACTGATTACTCATGGATGCTATAAGTGTTTTAAGATTATCAACTGGTATTTCTAATAGTTTGTGCTGTAAAATTCCCCAAAATTATCATATATTAGTTGACTCCTCTTTTTGTACATTGCTTTTCAACTGGTACTTCATATGTTCATTTGAATTATCATTAGTACTTTTAGTTGGCCCTTTCATAACGTTTAAATCAGAGTTCTTTTGTTTTCCTTTAAGTACATCTTATTCAGCATTAAATTACTTATTGTCCTATTCATTTTTCCAATTTCTCTCGTCTTTTGAAAAGTTTAAATTCTTTGTTTCCTATGGTATATTAAGCTTCTAGGCTGCATCTTGTTAATGTAGATCATTTTTTTGAAAATTCCTTCAAACTGCTCTTATGCTGATTCTAACTTTTTCACATTCTGTAATTTCTCATTTATTTCTGGAGAGATTTTGCAAAAAATGTGAAAAAGTAGGCTTAAATTTCATTGGTAATTGGCAACAAAAAAAAAAAAACGAGGTCGAAGATAAGTACTGTATTTATTGTTTTTTATGTATATTCTTCATTTATTGTTATAAAAGTAAAATGTCAAAATTAGAAACTTATTAGGTTAGATAATGAAAAAAAATAGAAGTTCTTCATAAAGTATGCTCTTGTCATTCAATGCAGTGATGTGAGCTATGTGTTCACCAAGTGATTTACAACTTGTGTGGTGGTATTATTAGTTAGACATGGCTCAAAGGGCAATAAAACAATAAAGTTAAATATAAACAGATGTCAATGTTACCAGTTTTAAGTTATTTAGGGTAAACAGTTGTAGTTTCCTGTTACAGTCTACATTCATTCTGGAAAGAAAGAAAGGGTAGTTTAGATTTATTTCATATTTTTTTAATGGTTATTGCAAGGTTGGTCAAATCTACTGAGTCCATGTAGAGTTAGGATTGAGAAAATAACAGATAAAATTTAAAGTTTTACTGAAAAAAAAACATTTGATATGTAGAAGGTTTTAGAGGTTATATAAATGAAATTTGAAAAATTTTCAGATGAAGAAAAGTATTTTTATTCTTAACATGAAAATCACTTTGTGGTCAGATCAGTCAACAATGACTCCAGATATTCACAGACAAACCTTTAGTGAAAGTTCTTCATTAAAAATCAGATTTTTTTTTTGTGTACAAAAGACTTGTGATGTTTACTGAGAGCTTGCCAGGTTTTGTGAAGATACACAAAACATATTAAAAGTCAATTACATTGACTGATTCCATATGGAAAGAGTTAAGTCTTAAAATTGTCATTTTATTTTAAAAGAATACTGATTATTTATTTTTCATTCAGAAGTTTACAGTGTCTGAATATTGAGGTCGATTACTACCAAAAAGCTTGTAAGTTATTGAATTTTTAAAGCAATATGTAAGTTTTAATATAAAATTTGTCTGTTTAAATGTTGTTTGTACTGTCAGATTTCAATAAAAAATTTGTGACTGATTGCAAACAACATGTACCATAGTTTTAAGTAGGTTTTTTTTTGTTTACTTTTTACTGTCTTAGACTCCTTTTTGCGTTCCCGGGACACTCACGACCATGAAGCAACAGCTATGATGAAAGCCCAGTTCATGAGTTTATGGGATGGGTTAATCACTGATCCCAAATGTCAAGTGATCATCATGGGGGCCACCAATCGACCACAAGATGTTGACAGAGCTATCCTTCGTCGAATGCCAGCAATGTTTAATGTAGGACTTCCGGTAAGATGCTGGGTGTGATGTGCCATACATGCTACAAGGATTTTAAATGTCAAAGTGTGTGTGTGTGTCATGGTGTTCTGATGTTTGTACTTCAAACAAGTATGAACAGTAACCATGTGCTACAAAGACATAGGATGTTTAGATATGTGTAATGTATATTTTACAAGTATTTCAGCATGTCTGGATGTGTGTTATGCTTTACATGCTATAAGAATTTTGGTATGTTTAAATGTGTGTTGTATATGCTACATGGTTTTAGTGTGTCTGAATGTACTTGTGTATATAGAGTTACATTGTGTAGTAAACCTTGCATCACATACTATGTCTAAATGAATTTTGAAGGTACATGACAAGAATTATCTGAATTGGGCAGCTGAGTTACTTGGAGACACTCATCAGATATGGAAAATTTTTGATGATAAATTTTTAAATATTCAATGTAAACATGTTCCTTATAGAAAGAAAAGGGTAGCTGCAAGTAAAAAACCAGGTTGGTTCACAAAGAGTTTAAGAAATAAAATGAAAGAAAAGCATCATAAATTTAAGAAATTTAAATTGACCAGTATGACAGGAGATTTAGAAGATTATAGAAGATCAAGAAAGTTGGTGAAATTAGGACATCAAAAAGGATGTATGAGAAAAAGTTGTCTGAAAATGTAAAAATTAACTGTAAGGATTTCTTTAGATACATTAAGGCTAAACAAAATGTTAGGATGGGGGTAGGACCCTTGAGGGATGATGAAGGAAGTCTAGTATCTGATGATTATGAGATGGTTGGGTTATTAAATTTTGCCTTTTCTTCGGTTTTTACTAACGAAGATTTAAGCAGTATTCCACATCTTGAACAGATAATAAATGGAAACAGAGATCAAACAAGATGACTGCATTAATTCTGAGCTGGTTAAGAAAAAATTAGGAAGTTTAAAAAGTTATAAGGCTACTGGGCCAGATAATATTTCCCCAAGGGTTTTGAAGGAGGTCAAAGATTGGATATGTGTGCCACTTGCTACTATTTTTTGTCACTCCTTGAATAGTGGGCAGGTACCAGAGGATTGGAAAGTAGCTAATATAACTCCTCTTTTCAAGGGAGGTGATAAAAATTGTCCCATTAATTATAGACCCATTAGTCTTACATTGGTTGTGGGAAAAGTTCTGGAAAGTTTGTTAAAAGATGTTTTTCAAAATCATTTAACAAAGTTTAGAATTTTATTGGATAGTCACATGG